CAAACTAAGCAAACAGGTGAATAGTATGACACCTATATCCACAGTAGGCCTTGAAACAAACAGGAAGGCCAATAAGAAACGTTCACGACGTCGCAAGACGACTACAACGTTCCCCAAGAAGGCAGACGATTGCAAGGTCTGCAATTCTATTGTCGAACAAGCAGATTCTGCTTTCGAATGTAACTTTTGTAAGCAATGGGTACATTGTAGATGTGACACCGGGGTACCAAAGGTATATTACGATTTTATGCGTAAGAACCCATGCCCATGGTTCTGGTACATTTGCCCAAGTTGCCGTCCTAATGCAGCCTCGTGTAGTTCCTCGAAAGCTACAGATGTCATAGAGATATCAGGAAAAAACGTGAAACGTTTCACTCCCACCAACTCAGAAAACAGCACAATTGCATGTAAATCGGGGATACCAAAATCCACACCGGTTATACTTGCAATTCCTGCCATAACCGCCCCAGACACAGAGGTTGAAGCACCAAGGGTACCTGTCGCCGGGAAAAGACCCTTACCGTCCACCAGTAAAAGTGGCCACAGCACTGCGACACATAATAATACCCAGTTGCACCAGATGAAACAAAACGGTCTTAAGGGGGATGACAAATGTGCGAGGACCGAACCTAAATCCACGGTCAGTCGATCAAACTGCGTTATCCTCTTTAATGTACCAGACTGTAGCAGTAGTCTGCTGGAAAACAGGGCCCTGTTTGATCAGGAACAGTGGTCCAACTTATGTAGCACACTGGGTCTGGACATCCAACCAGTAAAACTGTGCAGATTGTATAAGGGCACTGCTGCTCCTCAAGGCAAACCATCCCCACTGAGGGTAACACTAGGCTCTGCCGAAGATGCCGAAAAAGTTTTATTGACTTCCCAAGTCCTTTCTATAGGGAGGACCTGCAATATACGTGTTAGGCCAGATAGGCCATGGAAGGAAAGACAGATGGCGAGGGAGTCGCCAGAGCTTATTCCTTCTGCCTCCATGGTTGTTCACGGCATTCCTGAACTGGAAACTGGGAACGCTTGTGAGAAGCACTGTCACGATGTCCAGCAATGGAGATGGTTGGCATCCCAGATGGGTCTGGGAAGTTCAGGGGCTGTCTCTATTTTTAGACTGCCTCGACCCACTCACCTAATGTCAATTAACACCCCACATCTGTTAGCTGTTAAGTTTAGCTCCCGAGACCACTTGACTACTGCTCTCCAGAGATGGTACGAGACCAAAGACAAGGTCAGCAGACACATTCGCTGCTGCGAGAGCCGGCCTCGTACCCAAAGGAGAGAGCAAAACATTGTCATAGAACATCCCCAACCCCTAGTCACAATACAGCGGTGCAGCACGGACGATGATAGCCAGTGCCATCCAAGTGCTCCGATTGAATCAGAAGAAAAAAACTCCAACAGGCCGGTTCCCGGGGAATCGGCCAACTAGTTCGTAGGATAACTCCTCAACCGACAGCCCACATCACGTCAACCACCCCCCAATACGGGGACGTGGTGAGACTGACTACCAGTTGCCTGTACAGTAATGTGAGAGGTCTAAGAGGCAAAATAGCTGAACTTAGATACCTACAATCACAGCTGAACTCCAAAATCATAATACTGACGGAAACCTGGCTAACCCCTACGGTGGCAGACAGCGAAGTCAGTATAAATGATATGGTCCTTGTCAGGCGAGATAGGGATCTGAAAGAAGGAGGTGGAGTCGCCATATACGTCGACAAACAGCTCAGATGTGTCCATGCAATCGACCCTCCCCTCATTGAGCTCCCTGACTCCATATGGTGCCATTTCACCGTTGGGTACTGTAAGTATCTAGTGGGCAGCATTTACAGATCACCTTCATGTGGAGCAGACCACAACCAGGTACTGCTGAATGCAATTTCAGCGACACATGACCTGGGTTATGATCAAATTGTCATAGCTGGAGACTTCAATGCCCCATCTCTTAACTTGATGACGGGATGTGCCCAGGACAGATTTGATCGAAATCTGCTGCATACCATCACGGAGGCCGGATTCACCGAAAATGTCAGAATGGATACTAGATGGGGCCCAGATGGGAAGTCTTCTAGACTGGATTACGTGCTCACTAGTGACCAGCTACTAGTGGAAAACGTTCAGATCACGACTCCCATAGGTAGTAGTGACCATGCGGTCATAACATTCGACATAGTCCTCCGCGAGCGTTTACAGTGGGACAATACACAGCCCTATCTGTGTTATAACAAAGCCAATTACACCGAAATGCGAAGACTTTTGTCTGAAGCAAATTGGCCAAAAAATTGGACAGAGCTTACAGTAGAAGAACACTGGAGAGTGGTAAAGGAGATCATTCACCAGGCGATCTCAGACACTGTTCCTTTGGTCACACCTAAAGCTAGAAAGCAACGTTCATGGCTAAAAAGGGGGACACAACGCCTTCTACAGGCGAAGCGAAAAGCCTGGTTTGCGTGGCGAGTATCGCAGAGTCAACCCGAACATGAAGAGTACCTCGAACTCAGGAATCGGTGTAACATACGAGTCCGGAGTGATAGAAGGACATTTCAGAGAAACCTCGCCAATAAGCTTCTCGTGAACCCCAAAAGCCTATACAGGTTTATGTCTGAAAGAAAACCGACCAACCAGGGAGCTTGCAATATAGTGGGTTCTGATGGGAAATCTCTTACTAGTCTTGAAATGGCAGAGACATTCAGTCTAGCCTTTCACAGGCAACTGAACAGTAACGAGGATTTTACCCTCACAAAACATCAAGATTACAATGCAAGACCAACGTGCGAAAACCTGCTGGGTACATTTCAAATTACCCCGGCTATGGTACTCATAAAATTGGGAAAGTTGGCTTCGGGAAAGTCTGCAGGTTGCGACGACATAAGACCATCCGTCCTGAAGCAGTGTTCAGAAAGTCTCTGCCAACCCCTAAGTGATCTGTTTCAACACTCCTTTGATGTAGGGAAACTTCCATGTGAATGGAAACGAGCCATCCTATCCCCTATCTTCAAGGGTGGTGACCGGCAGAACGCGACCAGTTACAGACCAGTTGCGCTACTCCCAGTGATATCGAAGATATTCGAAAGTCTCATTGACGACCACATGAGAAAATACTTCGACGGGACTAACCTACTCCATGAAGCACAGCATGGTTTCAGGAAGGGAAGATCCTGTGTGACGAATCTTCTACTAGCTTGGAACGATTGGACACTATCCTGGGATGTAAAGGTACCAGTCCATGTGATCTTTCTCGACTTTGCGAAAGCATTCGACACAGTTCACCATGGTCTGCTCCTTCACAAAATAAGCAAAGCGGGTGTTTCTGGAGCACTTCTCGCATGGCTGGAAGATTATTTAGGCGAGAGAGAATTCTGCACCAAAGTCAACCGCATCCGATCATCCTGGCACACCTCGGCATCAGGGGTTCCTCAGGGTTCTATCTTAGGGCCGTTGATGTTTTTGATTTTTATCAATGACCTGCCCTGTCAACTGAATTGCTCTGCGCTTCTTTACGCTGACGACGTAAAGATTTGGAGAGCAATAAACTCATCGGAAGACTCCGACAGATTGCAGGCTGACCTGCAAACGCTGGGGGACTGGGCTCTGGCTAACGGAATGCCTTTCAACTTAAAGAAGTGCAAAGTAGTGCAACTTCATTCCGGCAGGTCACAGAGTGCAAATTACACCCTTGGTGGCCAGAACTTGAGTTGTGTGCCATCAGAACGCGATCTAGGCCTTATTTTAACAGAAAAGCTAGACACCAGTGTAAATTACACGAGGGACGTCGCCAAAGCTTACGGCACTTTACACTTTATGCATAGGCAACTGGGAGCTCTTACTCCTGAACTATTCCTAACGTTGTATACGACATACGTGAGGCCACTCCTTGAGGTGCATAATATCATTGCTCCTCCGCTACTCAAAAGGGATGCTAACATGCTAGAAAGTGTCCAGAGACGAGCGACAAAATGGGTGATCGGCCTCCGCAACAAATCATATGAGGAGAGACTGAAGAAATTAAGTCTTTTCACACTTAGTTACCGTAGTCACAGGGGAGACCTCATCACCGTCTATAAGATCCTAAATGACCAGGCCCATCCTAACAAGAGCATCCTGCCATTAAGTGATTATAGGCTTCCACGAGGTAACCCGCTAAGGATAGCACACCAGAGACCAAGGACTCGAGTGCGTTCACATTTCTTCTCGCTTCGAGTTTGCCGTCTCTGGAACGCTTTACCGGCGGCCGTAACTACAGCTCCATCTGTGGAGATTTTTAAGCGGAAGCTGGACAATCATGCAGAAATGCATGGTTTGTGTCTCAATGGCTTACCCTCTTAAAATTTGAAACCACATTGTCAATGGATAAGCATACAAGCTAAATCTTCACGATCCGTCCTGTCTTCTCCCACTGTACCGACTACTCTATCTTTCTTTCTTTATTATTTCACTTATCTCAACCTATATTATCTACACTACAACCTATTATTATCATTATCATTATTATTATTATTAATCTACTTTTATGACTATACCGAATGACCGACGGGTGTTAGGTCAAACTCCATTCACGGCAGCAGCTGAGTCCTAACATACTGCACACTACAAACCACAATCTTGACCAATCCTTGCATCACTCCTCCTGGAGTCTACCAGAGCTAAAGCAGTCGAGTGGCGGGATTTACTACGCATAAGTTCACCGAAGATCTGGAACCTCTACCTTAAAATCAAGAAGCGAGCTCAAAGAAATCACTGGTTTATACTAGCTCGTAATCAGGATATTGGATATTGGATATTGGATCTAACAAATCATGACCAATTACATAATAATGCTGTCTTTAGAAGGCTTAAAGATGCTTAAATGCTTCTCAATTTTAACCGATTATTATTTTGCATTTTGCTACTGATTTTATATTTATGTCTATGGAAATATTGGTTCACTTTTCAGAATAACCTATCCCGATGTATATTGTTATTGGTGTTCGTTCTTGATCCTTTTCAGGGATAACGAAGCTTCTTCAGACACTCGTCTCTGGCGATTGAGTTTCTTTAATTGTATCATGCGGATTTTCTAGAATATCAGATATGGTTAAGGGAAAATTTCAGACATACTTTCCGTTTGAAAAGGATTCTATGACATATAGCTGCCTTCATTGTCGCGCTCATCTCGCTCGTCATGATGATCTTATTAGTAAATCTTTCCAGGGAAGTCAAGGTCGTGCTTATTTATTTAATCAGGTAAGTGTGTCACGGATTTATGTTTAAAATGTGTACACGGTTCTTTCACTAAAGTTATTGGATTAAGAGAATATCAGCACTTTCATCTTTTGCCATCTACTACACAGGCTTGAAGCCGGTTGATGTTTGGATAGTCGACTTCTTAGAGAGTGGAAAACTACCATGTGACGTCGTAAAAGGAAATATTTACAGAGAAGAAAGTTTTCCTTCCAGCATATTTAAGAAAGTTGTAAGAGTACTTCCACATTTGCAAAGTACATGTAACTGTCCTTTATAAGTGAAAGACGAGGAACGATAAAAAGCGAATGCTATAATGTCAAAAATGTATTCGTTGTTTAATTGAAACTAAGCCAATAATGGTTGTCCAATCCTCAAGTTTTTTTTACTTAATAAGAGGGATTGCCATTATTATTATTATTATTTTAATATTCGACGGTAAATCATTAAAATAGTGGTCAATATCAAATTTTGATTCTACTATGAGCTGTTGTTTCCTGAATGGAATTTCTCGCCGCTTTACTTCTAAACCCTTTGATCATTAACTAGTTGTAATATTGACTGTAAAACAAGTAAGGCTAAGAGTCGTTTCGATATTTTAAGGCTTGAGAAAATGTACATTCTTTTGTTTTAGAATGTTATAGCTTTTTAATTCAAACTCCAGCGCTTAGATGTTTAGCAAATAAATTAAACTACAAGGAGGTAAATGCGTGCAGTTAACTGTCTTGTTCACACTTCAACTCATTCGATGACTTGCAAGCTTGTTAACTTAGTTGTCGTTCATGTTTTCATCTGGAACCATGCATCATTGTCTAATTGCCTGAACATCAACTGATTAGTCACACTTCATTCGGTGTGTACGATCAGGTGGTGACCTATGGCCTCATAGCCTAAACTATAGAAATGCCTATGCGGGGCAACTGAGTTTTGTCTATAATGATGTACAATATGTTTAGTGTGAAGTTAGCAGACATTTAAATAATTTCCTCATTCACATGTTTTTCGTCCCAAACCAAAGATCGTTGCATGAATGTGTACTAAGTACTTTCGAATCCTTTAGAATAGTGAGTGTTATAATTTTGATTTAGCATAGATTGTATGTATACATACAATCTCACAATAAACTATAGTTTATTGTGAGATTCTGGCTAAGTCTTCTGGTGAGTACAGTTAAGAATCACATAAAAAGTCGAAATGCAGTTTTTTGAAACGGATTTTTTTGTTCACCAGACTATAAGCCACACTTTTTGTGTGAATGATCATCATATACCTCAGTCGTCCAGGCTGGGTCAGTATTTGAATCTGAAGTCAACTAGAAGTTGCGTTAAATTTACTGTCATACACATTACTGCGACCTTTATTCACATCCATGCTGCTGTCTAAGTTGCCACCTATTACTGCTGTCTCCACTTTTATATACAGTGATTGTTAATTGTTATCTTTTAGTTCTGGTATGCATCCACTTACTTAGACGTAGCCAACAACTAGTGCATGCGAAAGGTTAGATTGTGATGGCTACGTTCAATCTCGTTGAATAATACATATGCCTTACTTATTAGTAATTATTAGTCTGTGTATTATTTCACCGAGTAGTGGGAGTCGCGTCATGATATTGATAGTTGGAGTCTAGCTAACCTTAGGTTTTCTTCTTTTCTGTGGAAAATAGACTGCATACTTAATGTATCCGGTGGGTAACTGTGCTCAAAATAAGGGCATCCTATTTCTGTTATACTTTGGAAGGTGGTTTGCAGTAGTCAAGGAGATGGGTCATAAATTAGCCTTATTCTTCTTAGTCGGTTATTATAAGAGAACCTTGAAGCTAATTAACTAACTAAGTAACCAACCAACCAACAATTTTTATTCTTTTTATATATTTTTCTCTCTATAGGCTGTAAATGTTCGTTGTGCTGAAGCTAAACAACGCGTCTTATTAACTGGATTACATTTTGTAGCTGATATATTTTGTGCATGTTGTGATACAGCACTTGGTTGGAAGTATGAACGTGCTTTTGAACCAAGTCAACGATATAAAGAAGGCAAAGTAATCATTGAGCTAGTACATTTATATAAAGATAATAGTTGGGATGCTGAATGGTTGTATCCCTTGTATCCAGCTACGACTACTACAACTACTAGTACTGCTGTTTATACTAATAATTCAAATAAAACAAAAGTCACATCTGTAAATTGTAAAAAGTCACATTCAGTCACTATAAGTGATTATCATAATTATGAAAGTGGAAAATTTCAATCATCATCTCTACGCTCTTCACAGATTCCTGTATGTAAATCTTTATCATCAACTGCTGACGGTGGTATATTCGAGTCGTCGACAACAGATTTAATTGATGTAAATGATGATTCATACACAAATTTTGCTCATCACCAGCAACAACATCAACACCAACATCATCATCATCATTCTCATTCTCATCATCCTACATCACATAATCATCATCACCATCATCATAAGCATCATTATCACTCGAATTCTTCATCTATCTCTTCTTCTACCTCCACGTCAACTTCATCATCTTCTGTTCACACACAACAATCATCATATACATCTTTAATGCCTAACGATTCATTATCATATCGGTTAAGTTCATCGTTGAATGCAACTGGTTGGGCGTTTCGTATACCACCTACAGCGACATCATCATCAAATAAAGGCAGTCATAGTTATTGTAATAATAGTGCTAGTAGTAACAGAAATACATGCCTATTAGATTTATCTGATTCAGGACGTGTTAGTGATTATCATCGGAATTCTGCATCAACATCAATAACTGATAATAATAATAATAATAATAACAATAATAATAGTATGGGACATTTAAATCCTGTCTGTTCTATTGATAATAATAACAATGATAGTAATAATGACAATAATAATGATAGCGGTGTTGAAAATAATGATGTGACATCAGAAAGTGTATATACTACTGCTACTGATAATAGCTGTAATCCCAATAATAATAATAGTAATAATGGCAATCAAATCATCATAATGAATGATAATAACAGCGATAAAAATCATACAGATCATGAGAAGTTTACAAAGTCGAAATCACTCACTCCTATTAATATGAAACTGTTTCCTGAAGGTCAGTCTAGTATTGTCACTAGTACTAACACTACTACGGCTAGCACTACTAACAATAATAATAATAATAACAGTAATGGTAGTACATCTGGACATAGTCGACTCGAAGCAAAATCATCTGAAATGTCTACTGTTGATATGCATACTGGTAATAGGAACAATCGTATACCAATGGATGATATATGCTTAAGAAAATTATCTCAGGTTAGTTTATATTCATAGAAGTACTATCTATGGATGTATTGTGTTTCAGAGTATACTTATTACTATTATTAATCCCTGAGGTTTCGAGTGGAATATACAGGGCTTCAAAACAACACATCTCCATTCCCCTCTGTTCTCTGAAGTTCTTTTAGGCCGGATTTACAATTGACTATAAGCTTCCATCTCTTCTCTTCACACGATCACCTCTATATCATCCTTGATGACTTACGCCTAACTCGTCGTCTCCCATTCGGATTCCACTCGAGAGCCGGCCTGGCGCGTGAAGTCAATAAAATGGTCTCTTCAGCGTTTATGCCCAGTTTATCTCCATTTCGCTCGGTATATTTGGTAGACGATAGGTTGGTGGTTGGTTCGTTACCTGTCAGAGTTCCATGTTATTTATCCTTTCTGATTATCTGATCCTCAGTATCAGGCTGGCTGGATTCAACATAGAACTTGGCACAGAAGGGCAGCAGTTCGAGTTGCTACGTTCCAAATAGCACACAAAAGTAGACAAGAAGATGAGTGAAGAGAATCAATAGAGTTTTGACAAGTATAAGAGTGAAACAGAATGAGTAATGGTAGAAAGGAATATGAAAGATTACAGAGACTGAATACATCTGCATAAGCCATTGACAACGATTTTGAGCCATATCGCCTATTGTCTCCAGCCATTGATTCTTAGAGTCCCGAGGGCCCCAACCCGGAAGTCTGCATCTCCCTCCCTACCTGACTCAGTTTAACTGTCAAGGATTTCATGGATTGATTGATGCGATGTTTTTGTTTGGCCACCACTTACTCTTTTCCAACCTGCACCTATATCAGCTAGTAATGCCCGTCGGGGGAGGCGATGGTTAGGCATGCGCAGCACGTGACCTAGCCATCTCAATCTATGTAACTTTATAGCCTCTTCGATTGATTTTCCCTCTTTGCCCAACAAAGAGGGTATCAGTATCAGGTAAAGGTGGCTGTTGATGAAATTCTGAAGTAACCTGTTGGAAACGCTTTTCGTGACACGCCAAGTCTCTGAACCATATAGAGGACGTGACTTGACATTCTAAGGGATCTAAAGAAGTCGAATTAAATCCTACAGATAGACAGAGGTGGGGCCTACATATTGTTAAAAGTGTATGTCTGTGTGAGGTAGCGTTCAATGGTTGTATCATTTTTAAATGATAATCTACCTAATATATTGTGTGATCATTTAAGTTTTGACGATTAATTTTTATGCTTTTAGATAGTTGTTGTATCTACCTTTTCAGCTGTTAAGTATTTGTTTCAATTTCCTAACTCTATTATTGTTGTAAAATAAAGTTTTATAATTAGAAACTACTTCCTATCTACTCACTGATTTTTATACTACTCAGCGGGTAAATAAATAGGTAATTTATTTGTCATTCTGCAGTATCCAGAACCCTATAGTATATCTATAGTTCCCACTTGAGTTACGTCTGAAAGTAGCCTTTAGTGTGTTAGTGCTGATAATTAATAATGCAATTCGGTTATACTATACATTCTTTTTATGTAATAGAGATGTGGCTTATCGGTTTAAGTGTTGAGTTTTTAGCTAACTGCTTCAGGATTTAAGTTCTGTTATAGCTACTTAAGCCAGAACAACTGTATGGTATTGTCAGGCTTCACAGAATGAGTGTGGTTTATATGCTGGTACATCTATTCCGCGCAAATGATTTCGAACAACATATATTGGGGGGGGGGTATGAGTCATACTTAATACTATTCAAAGACTGACAGTATTAAATTACCTGGTCAAATCAAAATAAGCTGCTTGGTGTTTGAAGCCTAAACCTACTCTAGTGGAAAACCAGGTGGGCGTGTACGGTGGAAAGAATAAGTGTGAAGTCGTTTGGTTAGTTGTATCTGGAAAAGTTATTGTATGACTTGACGTAATTAAAATTTGTTTATATGTGATGGGAGATGAATTCACTAAAAGCATTTTCGGTGTATTATGTTGTTTTTTAAATACTGAGTTTGAAATGAAAATTGATACTATTACTAGTTCAAATCTGGATATATTCCTATTTTAAGATGGTAATATATAATGAATACCATATATATAATACCACTGGGGATATTTAAAATTAACTTTATGCAGTAGTTAGTTATCTAGTTCCTAAACGTGTAGGTTGTTCAAATCTCTTAGATTCTAAAAGCTCTTATACGTTTGTGAAATGTTTACAAAACTTTTCCTTTTGGATTTATGCTTCATCCTCCTTTATCCATTATTAGTATTACCTTGGGTTCCGAGTGGAACATAGGGATTCAGTAACACATCCGCATTTTACTCTGTTCTTTTCAGTATTTTGTGATTGGCCCTATGACTGCCCATGAGCTTATATTTCCTCCTCACATGATGATCTCCTCCATGTCACCGTCGAACTCACGCACAACTCGTTGTTTCCCATTCTGGTTCAATTAGAGGGCCTGGCGCCCAGTTTCCACAGAACGTATGTTCAATTCATCTCCATTTCCTTCGGCATATTTGTTGGGCAACAGGTTTTGCGTGGTTGGTTCGTTCCCACAGTTCCCTGTTGCTCATCTTTTCTGACCATATGATCTTCAGTATCGAACTAGCGAAGGCAGCTGTTAATGAAATTCTGTAGTAATCTGTCGGAAATGCTTTTCATGATGCGCCATACAGAGGTATTGACTTGACTTTAGTGTTGAAGACCCAGGTCTTGTTCTTTATGCTGAGTGCGGTAGATTTCCACACTGATTTCAGGGCAATGAAGGTCTGTCTTGCCATTGCCATCCTAACTTTGACATCCTCACCTATAACACCTGTGGCCAAATGGTTTAAGACTCAGTTGCCAACCACTGGCTCACAGTTTTATATCCCGCTTCACTTATTGAGGTTTGGGCAGCGAGGTAGTATTAGTAGTTGTCACACAAAAGGTGAGACTCATTTCCAACTGCATGTATATGCAGTTTAATACTTGCTGTTACACATGCTACTTCTCAGTAACTATTTAACACGCATTATATTGACTTTTAAATTCGATAAATGCTGTGTTACACATATTTACTTCTAGTATGTTCTAGTGATGCATGTTTGACATTTCTTCTGGAATTGTATACACAATCGCGTATGTACTCAGTTACTTCATATGTGCATACTTGTCGCATGCTTGTGATGAAATCTGACTGATTACTTAAATGATCTGGTTTTTGGCAAATAGGCATAGTTTTCAAGAGCTGGTTTGCAGGGATTTGATTGCTTACGAGTTTGATCAAGATCTGACACGAGTTAGTAAACCATTTGAAATCCAGCAGAGAGTAATGGAGAGCTGTTTTGTTCCAGTTTGGGACTCTTTAGCGGTGGGTACCCACTGGGGTTCGGACCCAGGATCTTCAGGTGGCATAGTGAGCTCGTAGGCCACCGAGTCACTGCAGCCCGATCCTATGGTCCATGAATTTCAACTTCTGCTTATTCGCGATATATATATATATATATATATATATATATATATAGCGTGAATATTTTCCTGAATTCAATGCACACGATTTAAATTTTCACAACAAGCATTTATATGCACAACATTATCGGGAAAGCTGAAGTGAACGAGTCATCAATGAAGTGAAGTGAAATACTTCTATAGTTATCATTATAATTACTCCCTTGGGTTCTGAGCAGTCTTCACAACAGCACATCTCCTTTTCATTCTGTTCCCTTCAGTCTTTTTTAGGTTGGCTCCACTATTGCCTATAAGCTTTCATTTCCTCCAATTCATACAAACTCCTCTGTGTGTCACCCTAGGACGGCCAAATTGTCTTTTCCCATTCAGGTTCCAGTCGAGGTTCTTATACCTGATGTCACTTAATCTAATCGCTACAGAAACTTCAAAGTACAAAACTCTGTACTACATTTCACTTGTTAATCTTAATTATGTATTCAGCTAAACTGTTCGATAAGATTCGAGTAGAAACTGACCGACTGATGATGATCAGGAGGGCTTCGTGTGCTTTTGGAAGTGTGTGGGCAGTTGTTACTTCCTGGCTGCTGCCCACACCGTGGAAGGTGACTTATTCTTGGGGTACCTGAAATAGAAATAGAATTAGTGTCCCGTGACCACAGAGCCCAGGGGCAACTGCTTGAATCAGGTCATACACGGCCTGTATGAACTGGCTTTTTGGTTTGGTTCCATATTAGTAACTTACCGCCGGCTACGGACCACCGCAGGGGAAGTTGGAATGTACAATTTCTGGGTTCGACGTTTTCCAACCCCCTCTCTAGATTGGAGAGATAGCATAGCTAGAATGCTGGACATCTGAGGAAAACACCTTACTGCTGTTACATCCCTAATCCCCAGCAGTACGAATTCGCCCACAGACCCAACTTTTACACTATTCCGGTAACTGCTTTTAGTCTGGTAGCTATCCTACGAATTTTCTTGGCATGGTAGGACCTGCATGAATATTAGTTCCAGCCAGTGTAGCTTGTTGGGTCATTGAGATATGCAAGCCCGACCACCACGTCAAGGTAACAGCTATCAGTCGGGTTCAAGTAGAAAACAAACACCATTGTTATTTCATTTTTCTTTACCTGCCTTATACTGTCAGATGACCACAATCAATAGATAAGTCTTAAGAATGATTTAATAAAGTAACTCCTTAAATGATTATTTCTGAGTAAGTTTGTCTTTTCTTTTTATAAAGCAAAGCTTTAATCATACCTTTTATACATAGTCGTGTAAGGCTGTGACCCATACGTCTAGGTACTCTACTTCCAACTACTTGGTCACAGGTTCGAACTCTGTTCAACCAATATAGATCGGTTGGTATGATTAGCTCTTACACATTAGGTGTGCATGCGTGCGGTTCTATTTCAGCTGTATGTAAATGCAAAAGTGGTTGCTGAGTAACATTTTATTTCCATTCCACGCTTATGTGTGTTGCGTATGCTGAGCTACCTCCTTCCTTGTCCAGCATTCTTAGCTGACTTGGAATTAGGTTGGAAGAAAAGAGTGGGGGCAGGTCAAATAAAAATATTGGCATCAATT